TTCAAGGAGGTTAGAATGTCAGACTGAAAACACTCACAAGGACATTCAGTGTTCGGTCCTCTCTCTTAAGTGGCCCTCAGGGTTTGGGTGAAGAGGGTAGAATCAGGTCAGGGAAATCCTCTTAAAGCTGTAAAGACAGAATTGCTAGGATGTTGTCTAGAGTCCCCAGGGAATACCAGAAGATGGGACCAGCTTGTTGATCAATTAATTAAATAATCATATGCTCTTTTACCCAAGGTGTTACTTCAGCATAGTTTTGAAGAATATTAGTGACTTTAGCTGGTTTATAGGCTACAGATCATACACGTGAGACACTGTTTTAATTGTTTTCCACATCTAAATGAATCTGAGCATGAAGATGGTGTTGGAGAGCTTCAGTGGTAAGAAGCCATGGGACAGAACCTAGAATACTTACAAGACCTGAAACTTTTGGAAATAGATATGAAAAAGAAAAACTCAGCCAAGTATGAAATTACTTTGCTGTTATTGTTGCTGTTTGCTTTTGTTATTTCAGGTATGTTCAATTTAATGTCATAACATGATTCTAGGGACATGGCTAGGGACAGGCCTGGACTTCTCCATTAGTCATTCCTGGTATCGATTCAACCTGAGGCTGGGTACAGGCTTGGTGGTCAGGACCATGCAACACAGTTTTTGTACTAGCTCACGGATTCTCTTGAACTTGAAGGGATTGATACATACACACACAAGACAATGTACATAATCGGTAAGATAACTGTGTTTCTGGTGACACTGGAGGTCTGCTTTCCTCTGTGGTTTTTGTCACTTTCACATGCATAGAGACCCTGGGCAGTGGAGGGCTACTTATTTGAAATGCACATTTGGAAATCTCTCTTTCAGAGAATGTGATTCCATTGGCAGTGAGTAGGGAGTGGGAACCAGGAAGATTTTGAACAAGCGCACAAGTGGCTCTGATGCACAAGTTTTGACAGACCCCACTTTGAGGAATACTTTGAAAGTCTCAGAAAAAAAAACATGATGGAGAAAATAGTCATCAAAAAACTTAGAAGGAAGAAGGAAAGGAGAAACACAGGATCCACGGCCAATAGGAGCCCAAAAAGAAATTCTATTATAAAGTCACACAATCAGTGGTAGAATATAAGGAGCCATTATGATTTCTTATTTAGTTATTATTTATTCTCTGCCCATTTTCATTGAAATGTCCAGAAAGCAAAAGGTAATATACATATAATTGGTAGAATCAAACATATTGCCTATTTTGAGAGAAGGCAGGTACCTGGGGCAAGGGAGAGGAGTGATGGAAAACATCCTGGTATGGATGAACGCTGCCTGGTATGAATGCCGCATGTTTTGCAGGACTCCAGAGCCTCTTCCAATTGCTTACTTATAAGTCTGCATTCCTGAACAACGTCATAGCTCCCAGGGGCTAGGGTTTATCTCCGGTGTGTGACTCTGACTGGGTCCAGCGTGCTCGGGGTAGGGAACACACAAGGAAATGCATCTGTACTGATAAAACATGATGTTTGAGGAGAAGGAAGGTAATAAAGAATTCATTTCAAAGAATTTCAATAAGAGAATTTCTGTTTTAGTTTTTATCGCTGAAAGCATTAGATCCAATAATTAAATTTAGTACTCTGTAAACTAAAAAGAGTTATTAGCAGTTTTTAAAGAATCAAGTAGTAATAAAAAGGATGGCATAATTACTTAACCACTGTTAACTTTCTTTTCAAGGTATCTATAGCCTTTCAAGCACTGAATCAAATACATAATCAGATGCATTCACTGCACAGAGCAGCATATAAACTGAATATAAATGACTAATATGAACAAAAGGTACCAAGTAATATGCTTAATACATTTTAACTAAACAAAACCTATTATTCCTTACATTTTAACACATTTTAAAAAATTAACATTTTAAGCCCTGGGTGGCGTAGCTCAGTGGATTGAGCACAGGCCTGCAAACCAAAAGATCACGGTTTGATTCCCTGCCAGGGCACATGCCTGGGTTGCAGGCCAGGTCCCAGCAGGGGCCAGTTCCCAGCAGGGGATGCACCAGAAGCAACCATACATTGATATTTCTCTCCTTCTCTCCTTCTCTTCCCTTCTACAGATAAATAAATAAATTTTTTAAAAATTAACATTTTAAGTATCCACCATATCACATGTTAAGTGAAAAAAAGCTGAGGATATACAGTATTTTTTTCAGTAGCATCTTCTTGGATTATTTCATCAAGGGTCACTGTATAATAAAGTTCCTTAAGTAGAACAGACTATACTTGATCGAAATGAAAGACAAACCGTATGAAAATATCTTAGAGTGAAAAAGGAAAAAAGACATCAGTAAACTGTTGCCTTTTTAAGCATCAGTTCTCCCTGTAATTCCAAATTCCTTTTCTTTTTTCTGACCCATGGGCCACTGAGCTGCCAGCAAGAGCCATAATCATGGGCAACACAAGCCAGGCAAAGGTCAAGGCAAGCATGCAGCCAGCATTGGCTGATGAAGAGCCGGCCTTTTCCTCCCGGGAGGAGTGGCTCCCTCTTCTCTGCAGACTAATGGAGATTTTATTTGAAAGCCATTTATGTGTGAAAGAGATGCAAATGTGAAGGGTAAAGCTCAAAGGAACATAGAAATAGCAACCACTAGTGTCATCCCTTAAATAGTAAATGCTCCAAAAAGTAAACACAGCATAATACCACCAACAGAACAAACGAAATGAGAAAGTCCAAGGTGGCCTGTGTCTCGGGTCACACTATTGTTTTAGAAAAGACTTTATGTAAATGAAATAATGATGATAATGCCTAGGTTGAGAATACTAGACACTCACCATTTCTGATAGAACGAACAGAGTTAAGTTGTGTGGGAGGTAAATACACCAAAACGTGCCCACCAATGATTTGAAATAATCAAGCGGAAGGGTTGGACATGGTTTTGGGGGACAGAGAATAGTACTCCAGGGTCCACTTACCCTCAACCTATTTTCAAAACCTACTATTAGTGGCAAGTGACAGGGGCAGGGGGTGGAATGGAGCAATATGAAGACTTTTTCCTTAACAGCATATTGGCAACTAATGTTATATAATTTCCTCTTACTGACCACAGAATAGCTGATCATTACAGCTTTTAGGCACTATGCATTGTTGTTGTCATGTAATACCATACACAATAGAGTTTGCCACATATATTGCAACGAAACTTTAAACAGCAAAAGCTAAGAAAATAACTATCTTTTGTAGAGCAATAGTTCAACAGGAAGAGAACGTGCGACTTTCTGTGGGCATTTACGGTAAGTGGGGAGCATGATGGTGATTAAGGGTACTCGAAATGTGCCTTTGTGTAGACAATTTTCAAATAAAGAATAATAAGTAAAAATATCATACATTACCATTTTAAACCACTCTATGCAAAGGTACTTATTTATACTAGTAATTTAAGTTTGTTTTCACAATTCTGGGTGCAAGTGTGAATTATGTGAAGGATTTCTTTCATATTTCTTTTTTTATTAAACACTTAAAATTTATTAAGCAAGTAGATCTCACATATTAAGTATTCTTTTTAAAAATTTTTTAAGTTATTTTTCAAGTACAGTATTCTGTCTTTTACTCCCATCCCAGCCCACCCCCCCATGCTCCCTACCTCCCTCCCATTTCCACCCCCCTTAGTTGTTGTCCATGTGTCCTTTATACTAGTTCCTGTTCTTTCATATTTCCCATCCTCCTTTTCTCTCTTAACTTGTCAAACATACAGGTTGAATGAATTTCATTGAATTACCCTCAACGCACACACATTAAACCTCTTCTGAAAAGGATCTAAAAAGCTAGACCACACTAAAGTTGATGGATACCAACCTTGATATCATACTTATTTCAAACTGTTGTCAGTTTAAGTTTTAGAAATCTTAAATCAAAAGACTGAATCAACAATTCTATAATGCAAAGAATTCCTGGGTGGCTTCTCCTTAAACTACACATACATTTCCTACTGGTTTCTCCTTGCCGCTTCAATTTGAACATTATAGCCATACTTTTTCACTTTTCCTCATTAAAATGCCAGTATTGTTGGGAAGGAACTTATTGTGCCTTATTTACCAATAATCCACGAGCTGAGTTTATATGATCTTTTCTTCTCTGAAAAGTAATCCGAAGTGGGTTTGTTAGGAACCAAGACTGTGAGAGAAGTTCCAAGGGCAAAGGGAAGAGGAGTTCACCCACTGGGACTATGACCACCAGGTACAGTGATCCACGTGTATGGTACTATGCTATACACAGTACTTCACTAGGTGACTCACTTAAGTGACATGATGGAGGTAGTTTCTCTGTTTTATAAATGAGAAAATTGAGATTCAGAGCAGTAAATCGAAGAGTTGAAGCTTGTGAGGGATAGAGGTTTCACCCAAAAGACGTGTAAAGTCACAGGCCTTGCTTTTTTAAACAGCCTAAAAATCTGAAGGCTGGGGGTGTGCAATCCGCACTGGAGGCCGACAACACAGGCCCTGTCTGTCGCCCTCAGAAGTGAACTTGAAGCAAACCTCCGATTTCCTGACTCCCAGCCTCATATGCCCTCCACAAGACCACTCAGCAGGCTGTTACTCAATGGTCAGGACTGGGCCTTGGTTCTTCTGCCCAGCCGCCCAAGCCAATCTCTGTGAGTCAAACCAGACCTTTAACATTGGTCTGGGGAACCAGAGATAAGAGTTGTCCTGGGCAGTGCTTCTCCTGGAAAAGGGTAGAGGAAGGGGAGCAACAGATTTGGCTTCCTCTTTAAACGCTCTTTAAAAAGTGCCAATTAATCCTTCAAGGCAACTGTTCTTACGTGTGCTGCTGAGACAGAGGGGCGTGTGCTGCCCTGGTGATAGGCAGAGTCCTCATCAGTCATGGAGTCACGGTCCTGAAAAGGACCATAGTTGAAGAGACAGACCATAAACTCTCACCAAAAGCAGGGGGAGGAAGAATTAGGGCTAAAAGATTTTAAATAAGCCATTGCATATAAGTTAGAAAAGTCTAGAAAATATCCAGTTTTTATTTATTGACGCTACAAAGCTTCTTCAAAATAGACACCCATCAATCAATTTCTTCAACCCATCCAGTGTTACCAAACCATCTAATCAAGTTTTTTATGAAGTACAAGTGCAGGGTAAACAAAGAGGCTTTCTTCTCTAACCAAACCATTTTCAGTGTTGCCCTGAAGTCAACCCTCCATTCTGGTCTAGGTGATTGGTGGAGATGCAGCTGACTGAAAATTTTCCTTTTGCATAACTTCCCAGGAACCCCACATAAATTGTCATTATATTAAGTGACCTGTACCTCTTTCATCCTTCTGACTCCAAGGATGCAGAGAGATCACTATAATACCTTTATCATTTTTTTACTGGAGTCTTAGATTGCTCTTATGAATTTGTACAAGCACATTATATTTTAAATATACTAACCATTATATGTTATATCTGTGTAGATATGTTTTCTCAATTCATTATTTTTAACATTGGTGATTTTAATGTAACCAATATAGTGATGTTTTATAAATTCTCCAATGCTTACTAAGCTAAGACAGCCCTTCTTACCCAGAGATAAGCTAAATATTGATTTAAAGATTTTTATAGCTAAATCTATAGATTATCTTTGTATATTTTGTGCATTTTCTTACATTTTATTTTGAAATCCTATTGGAATTTATTTTGCATTTGCAGTAATGATATAAAGAGATTCATAAGAAAACTTTTATTACTGGTGTTTACTGAGTAACTGACTCAACTTGCACAATGATTTGTGATGACAATTTATATATCATATATCAATATATATTAAAATCTATTTGGGGGACTACATATAGTTTTCCATTGATCTGCCTAAAACTTTTTCCATATGACATAATATGAATATTTTTATGTATGAGAAGCAAAGTTAACCTTTATTATTTTTTCCCAAAACTTTTAAAGACATATACATACATATCTTTATATATATAGTAAGCCCTCACTCAGTGTCATTGATAGGTTCTACGACTTTAATGAAATGTCAGGTAAGGAAACCAATTTTACCATAGGTTAATTGATATACACAAGAATTATTCCTACAGCATCTCATGAACCTTTTAAGGAAACAGTGTTGAACAAAACATTATTTGAGGGCCTACTGCATATTCTCATAATAAAGTCATGTATATATATACTCACATGGGTTCAGTTTATCTTTACAGGTATAAAATTTTTATCTAGGGGTAGGCCAAAAAGTCTGTTTAGTTTTTTGTAAAATGAAAGAGACCGTTTTCATTTTCACCAATAACTTCATTGATTTGGATATTTTGAGTATACTGGCTATTTCCTGCTATTGGGTAGAGGCCAGGGGTGCTGCTAAACATGTTCCAATGCATAAGACAGACCCAAACAAAGAATTATTTGGCCAAAACATTCCCATAGTAACAAGAAACATTGCAAACCACTTCTGTTTTGTTCTATCAGTCAGTTACAGCACCTTCTTCATACACTGAACAAATCTTTTTTTGCATTTCAGTTGCATTACCTTTCTTGAAATAATAAGTATAATATGCTGAAAATGTGGCACATTATATTTCATCTTCAATTTATTCCATTAAAATGGCTGCACAAACATCCACCAATTTTGATGGTTTTTAAAATGCACGCTGACATGACAGCTATCACAATACAATCTAACAAAATTGTTTTGAACAAAGTTAAAGATAACTGAGCATTTCTAGAGCCATCATATGGGAAAAAAACTAAATGAATGACTTGGCCAACCCAACATCACTTGATTTTTCATACAACAATATTTAAAAACAAACAAATTTAACACAATACTAACAATCCATAATCACTAACATTTGTTGAGAGTTTGCATATGTCAGATAGTACTCAAGGTACTTTATATGATGCAGTGGTTAATTTCACGTGCCAACTTGGCTGGGCCACAGTGGCCACCTGTGTGATCAAACGCTACTGTGGATGTTTCTGTAAGGGTGTTTTTGGATGAAATGAACATTTAAAGTTGTGGACTTTGAGTAAAGCAGATTTCCTTTCATAGTGTGAGTGGGTCTATCCCATCAGTTGAAGGTTTGATTAAGACAAAAGACTGACCTCCCTTTAGTAAGATGGAATCCAGCCATACAATGGCCTTCAGACTTGGTCTGCCACACTGGCTCTTCCTTGGGTCTCCAGCCTGCTGACTCACCCTTTCAGATTTCAACCTTTCCAGCCTCCATAATCATGTGAACCAATTCCTTAAAAATAAATCTTTCGCTTCTCTCTCCCTCTCCCTCCCTTCTCTGTCTGTCTCCCTTTCTCTCTTTACTCACACACATGTGTATACATACACACATATGTATATAGATATAGCACATACATATATGCATATGTATATAAATTTTATTATATAACATTTACACATTAATATTATATGTATGTATATATGTACATTCTACTCTGGTTCTCTAAGGCACTGTGATTAAAACATATGTATAAAGTCATTTGCTCATTACAGCAACCCCAAGGGGCAGGTAATTTCAGCATTTTAATTCTACAGAAGACAATACTGAATCTGGGAAGACTAAATAACTTGTCCAACACCGTTCACTCGGGTAGTGGCAGGGCGAAGACTTAAACTCATTGCCCACAGTCTTAACAATGCAAATATATTTTAAAAAACAAAACAATACTCTATAGTTCCTTATATGGATTTGATGCTTTTTAAGAAAGATCAGAATATTTCGAGCGTAAGTTTTCAGTGGTTGTCAAAAAGCAAATACTAGGAAGTTGTTTGCCTTCCTCGTTTTCATTCCCACGTGAGTGCTCCGCTGAGGTGTTCAGCAGCAAATCACGTGACGAGACTGCTCTGATGTTGACAGGTAATGGGTTTATTTTTGTTAGCTTTGAATGAATGAGTAAATATTTTTAGAACTTCTCAGGTTTAATTTTTAATACAGTAAATATTTATTGATATAATTCTCATAAACTAAAGCCCTTTGAGGTCCTAAATAATTTATTAATTTAAAGAGGTTTTGAGACCAAGAAATTTGAGAACTGATGTTTTGGAGACATTACAAAAATTAAAACATTTTGGTGAAGTGAATACTGTTATTTACCAGTTTGGCAGATCCTGTTTTACAGCTTTTTACAGAATTCTTTAATTCTTCCCATACTCAAATCTAGGTAGAAGAGAGGGGCAAAAACCTAAAATGTTGCCCACAAATATCTTAAATACTATCTTCATATTTTAATGTTTTTACTTGGCTACAGTCAGAATAATTTTAGGCCCTGGGTCTATATTCCATTCCTAATTTCTACCAATTTCATCCAGTTCCAATTGGATAAATGTCATCTTATCTTCTTCCTAATGGTGACGAAAAGACTAACAAAACATTTTCTCAAATGTCCCAAATGTCACGCAGTGGACATCTGTAAGAGCTCCCTGGAAATGTCTGCGGTGGAGAAAAGACCTGCATGCTGGCGCTCGGGTGCACAGTGACTCTGCACTTTCTGGTCCAGCTTCCTGTGGGCTGCCCGGGGGCGGTCCACATCCCCTGGGCATGCTCCCAAGGGTGGGGCAGCAGCCATAACAACCTCACATCATTTTGCTGAGCATTTCAGAGGAGCAGCAGCAAGAGCTAAGGCAGACTGAAGTGAGCCTGGCTCGTCTTGGGTCAGTAACCTCCTTTGGAGATACAGCTTGGCTTACCTCCAGGGCAGAAACGGGAGGGAGTTCGGAAGGCTCATCCTCCCCTCCATATCTGGCAAAAGTGTGTTCTCATAGTCCACCAAGGGAAATGCAATAGAGTCATTCCCTCAATGTTATGAGATGAATCAGTGAGATAAAAACGAAGGAATCTTGGGCTGACTCCCCTCCTTCACCACTGTTTGTGCAGTCTTGTTATGTCAAAATTCACATCACCTTTATTCCTTATACTTGTATTGAATGTCACCATCTGGACAGCATTTTCACATTTGTTACTTCTCACAGACACTGCGAAGTAAATCAGCAGGTATTGTTAGCCTCATTCCATGTATCAGAAAACTGAGCGGCCTGAGGCTGAGCCTACTGCGGCTCCCAGGCAGCAGAGCCAGGCCACTGCCAGCAGGCCCGGCAACGCTGTGGCTGGCACGCATCACAGGCTTCCTCATCACCTCGAAATTCCCTGACCACACGGGCATGTTCCACATAAGTGTCCTGGGAAGGAAGGTGAAGGGGCAAAAAGAATGAAGTGGAGATTGAAAGGAGGAGAAAAAATAATAAGGGGAAATGTATATACTTTCATAATACTCGTGAGGACTCTCATTTCTTAACAAACGATTCACAGAAAGTCAGAGATCCGCCTTGTCTGCCTCCAGAGCCATCCTTTGGATTAGTATAAAAATACCTGTTGATTCCAGTTTTTCTCCACAGGTGTCAGTGGCCAAAATGAATCCGGGTGTAAAGGAGATTCCAAGATTGGTGCAGAAGTCCTTCCGCATCCACAAGCGTGCTCTCTCTTACCCTCACTCTCTTTAAGAAAAAATATACATAAAGAGATTTATTATAAGGAATTGGCTTATGTGATTATGCAGGTGGGCAAGTCCCAGAACTGCAGAGTGAGTCAGCAAGCTGGAGACTCAGGAGAGCTCATGGTACGATGCCCACCTGAAGACTGGCAGGCTCGAGATGCAGATGAGCCAGTGTTTCAGTTCAAGTTCAAAGGCAAGAAAAAAGCTGACAGCTCAGTCTGAAGGCCATCAGGCAGTAGGAATTCTCCCTTACTAGTGGACAGTCAGTCTTTTTGTTCTATTCAGACCTTCAACTGATTGGATGAGGCCCATCCACATTAGGCAGGGCAGACTGCCTTACTCAGTCTACCATTTAAGTGTTAATTTCACCCCAAAACACTCCCATAGAATCCCCTGAATAATGTCTGACCACACATCAGGGCAACCCAGGGCCCAATCAAACTGACATATAGAATTAACCATCACAAAGGAGCCTGTTTTCTTGAGGCTCCTTAGCATGTATGGGCAGCGGCACTGGTTCCTCAACTCCTGCTGAACCCAGGATGGCCTTCTGCAAGGGACGTGCTAGAGTTTCTTCAACCATTAATTACTTTTACAGCTGCTGCTCTAAAAACAGGAGGGATAAAAATTGCACTGCTTGTTCCACTAAAAATGCAAAGAGGACCAGTAAGAAGAAATCCATAGACTCTGCCTTGCACATGAATCAACCCTTTTCTTCAATGTGTGTTTGCTTATTGAAAATACCTTACAAAAAGTGCTAATAAACAACAAAGTAGAAACATAAAAAAGTGCAATACATGAGGTAGGAGGTGAAATGCTGCTTGCCCAGTGAGGGTGAGGCCAGCAATACGCCCCCAGTTCCTGCAGAACTTCTAGGTACAGTGTCTGGAGTTCTCTTTGCGCCCAGACACATGACCACACCTCGGTCTTGGTAGAATGAGAGCTCATACTAAAAGGTACTTGAAAGAAAAACAGAAATACATTGCATCCTTGCTTTATTTTATAGGTTGAGATTGGTGCTCGTTACCTACACCAGGACTTGAATGCCTACCCCAAACAGCATTACAACCACATAGTCACCTTTGTTATTTCTGCCTTAATTCCCACTCTCTGTTTTCTAGTCTCTTATTTTCCACTCAGCATCAGCTTTTCAGAGCTGCAGTTTTAGGGCAAATCTCTCACTCTTCCCTCAGAGGGACATTTATTTACATAATCATTGCAGCTCCCAATTACTCCACAGACTAACTGCCACTTAGAATCCTCACAGGCCTGTTGTTGATGCCGTTCCAAAGTGGCAGCAACTTTGAGTGCCAGATTTGAAAAGATGTGTTTGAACATAGAGAAGGCGTTTTAGAAGAAATTAAACGTGAATATCTACTCTTCCAACAATGTCCTTGCGTGGGTTTTTCAAATGAAGAATTTCAGTAATGATAGGATGAAAATCATTAACCAAGGCAATCACCATATTTCGAGATGGTGTCTTTACATTAGCAACCTCTGATTTTTTATCCACAGGTTTTTTCATCTCTTTTCTGTTTACTTGAGTAAATAATAATTGTTCTATACAGTCAGACCTCTTTCTGGGATATGTCATAGCACTGACCATTCTGTTTGTGAGGATGCTCCTTGAAACTACTCTGTGTTCACATCTGAATTTAAAAAATAATTATTGGGTGGGGTTCAAGATTTTCTAAATCATATCAAATGATCAAAAATGATTCCCTCTCATAGGAAGTATGTTACATCCATGTTCTAGTGCATTCATACATCCCAATCATCTTCCTCATGTACAAGTCTCAAATAAAACCACAGCAACATTCTTACATGACAGTAAATTATAGCAATAAATAAGTTATTGTATGAAAGAGAGTGTCTAATTTTTCTCATTTCTCCTCTCAGTTATACTGATTTCCAAAGGAAAAATAATAATCAATGATCATATCTCATTATCAATAGTGGTTAAAAGTGTGGGCCCTGTAGGAGACGGACAGGAGATACCATACTGGCCTCACCATTTTTGGCTCTTTGACCTTGAGGAAGTTATATACTCTAAGCCTCAGCTTTCTCCCTTGCAAGTGGAATAACAATAGAGTCTAACTCATCGAGTTGCTGTGGGCATTACACAGATAATATATATAAGAAGCTCAGCACAGAGGTAGCTACATAAGAAGAGTTCAATAAAAAAGAGCTCTTACTCAAAAAATCACTTTTTAAAAGTCTCCTGAATCCCTTTTTGTGCTTTCACTTGCAGAGCGGTGGTGGAGAATGCAAGCTCACCAATTCCACCCATCAGTAACATTATGCGTGCCTCGGCATTGGGGAAGGGAGAGGTGGGAAGAACAATAACATCAGCATCATTTAGCCTCAAATGTAAATAGTTACTACAGGGATTAAAACAGCAACGTTTAAGATTAATACAAGAGAGAAAAGTGAAGTTGAGGAAGATAAATTTAGGCTTAGATTAAATTATTAACTATAACTTCTTGGTTACCAAAGGGGATTTTGTTATTGTTTGCTTATTTGTTTATTTGTTGGAACTAGTTCTCCATTATTATTATTCATCCTCAAAACCAGAGTCATCAGTTTTCCTTCCAGTCCAGCTCACATCCCTCAGGTCCTTCTAATTCCCATATTACTTCCCAGGCTGAGTTCTCATCCTATTACTTCTAGATTAATATCTAAGCTTTTAATATCTTCCTCTTTGTGTTAAATTCTGCATTCTGCCATCATGCTCCTCAAAAACTACTTTGTTAAATCTCTGATTTCTGACTACCTACATGGTAAGATTCTAATTCCTTGGTTTAGTTTTCAGGACTGACTTTAACCTCCTGCTCTAACTTCCTTCCTAGCCCCCATCCCCTTGATCCACACATGTCAGAGGAAAGCGCTGTAGCCTGAGAATAAGAAAGCAGACTCCAGAGCAGGATGTCTGGGCCTGAACTCCAGCTCCACCCCCCCACCCCAGTTTTAAATTCCACATTCGGATATTCTGAATTGTGGAACAAGCATCACACACACCTGCTGGAGGTGGAAATGGGGGCCTTACCCAACAGCAAGGGCGCAACCGAAACCTGCAGAATGGGCAGCTAACCTAATTTCCCTGTTTAAAGTAATCACCGAGGTGGAGGTTGCAAATGTTCTGTCTCCAGAGACACATTAGAGGACGCTGGCAGCCAAAGGACTTACTGCATCAGCAGAGGAATCTTTCATGAGTCCCTTAGCCAAACGCAGGACTTTTGGAGTGTCAAAAGAGGAGGGGTGTAGGGATGAGGAAAGCTAGAAGTGACGGGGCTGGGAGAGCATCGCAAGGGTGTGTTCATGTCTGCCCTGCTTTATGAGTTTGACCTTTCCTACAGAGTCTCTTAGAAAAACTTTGCAACTTTCCTATAGTCAGGCTATTATAAAATTCTAATAAATTGTGTTAAATTGTGACATGCTAGCATTACTAGTGAATATTTTTAAAGACTGTCCTTTATTAGTTTAATTTCTTTTTATGATTTTTTTTTGTCAGGGAAGATGAGACCTTTTTCACATATAATGACATTCTTATAACTCGTAATTTGGTTAATAATTACAGTAGAGGGCTTAATTTTTTAGTTCTAGAACTGATGTTTGAATGCTGGATCAAACCACTCATGGCTTTCCTGCAGCCATCATTCCTCCAGATCGACCTAACCAAACTTCGTTTAAAAAACAACAGCAAAAAGCCAGACACAAGAGTTTTATCAGACCAGCCATCTAAGTCATAGAAACAACTCATCACAGATTTCAGTGAAAGGAAAATCTTCATACCATTTACCTATTACAAGATACTTCATTAGCAAGCAAATATCTCATTTTTAAACTCAATTTCAATGCCTTTATCCTCATGATTTATGTCTCTTTGATGCCTAAATGGCCCACCCAGCTAATTTGGTCCCCAGCCAGGACACACTGTAAAACCCACTTCACAGCGCCTTGACTGATGCTCTACTTGGCAGGCGGTATTCTCCTTCTCTTCCCTTTTATTTTTTCTTGTTCCCACTTTCCCAGGACAGTGACAGAGCTGTGTGTGAAATGCCCAGATATGGAACAGAGCCACCCAGAGAATGTGCACACATACAAATGGGTGAGGGGTGCCCCAGGGCTGGGAAGTCTTTCTCTGTAAAACCTGAGGACAACTGGCCTCATGGTTAAAAAGCATCAGAACTCTTGCACTGAAAACCAGGCAGTGATCCAGCTGTACTCAGTTGCTCCTTTTCTTTTTGTATCCATTCTGAGAAGTTATCATTTTCATGAGAATGAGGTGCTTATTTCACCACAGAAATGTTAACTTTGGAAAGCATCTCTTTGTAGTTCTAATTTCTCTGAGGACAGTATTTTTCAGGCTTGTTTTTATCTTTTATGTTTGGACATCTGAATTCTAACTTCCTGAGGCTTATGATTCCTCAGCATTCTAACCTGCATCAACTCTGCCAGCCTCTGTAGCTAAAGTAAGAGTTGAAGTAATTAGGAGGCTAATTCACACCGAAACTTGTTTGCTCATTTAAAAGGCTCGTTTTTGCTGTATCTATAAAATTGCTTCAAATCACCACATCATTTTTCAAATGCTAACTTTTCTATACAATGCTACACCTTCTTGTTTTTCTGGCAGAACAGTGAGTGACTGGTCTAGAACAATGTGACTTAGTGTTATCACATCATTGTACCTCCTTTAACAATCCCTAGCATATGTGTATTGCACAAAAGGTACTAAAATACCTTTTTATAAATTCTATTGACAAAGTATGTTTCTCCTACTAGATTGTCCCGTTACTATCATTTTTCGATAATAGTTTTTATCATTTTTAGACACTATCTCAAACATGAAATTATTCCTGTTGATCTAATGGCCTGCATTGCTGATGAGAAACCAAGTCCTGAGAATCAGAGATTGGTTCACTCTTGTTGAGTAAAGCAATGTCCTGATTTTGGAGTTGAACCAAATTGAAAAATCCATGACTATTAGGTACCAAATGCTTA